AAAGAAAACCAAATTAAGGTGGCTCAATACAGTTTCCAGCACTTTCCAAGACGTAGATTATGATTTAAGGTGGCTCTGAACCCCACGTACAGAATTGTTTAAACTTTGCCAAAAATTGCATCTTATACTGCTTATCAAAATTCTATAAGAAGAAAAAAATTTCACCATGCCGTTTAAGGGTGTTTTTAGCAGGTCATAGTGTTGCTGTGGTAACATATAGTGTAACGAAAATAATACCAACGTGTTCACGAGTGATTGGGCAGTTTCTTGATACCATGATTGTAGCATCAATTGACAAAGAGTGGTTATAATAACCCATCATAATCTTCGTCTTGGAAAGTGCTGGAAACTGTTTTGAGCAACCTTAAATTGTTATTTGTAAGTGTGAGTGCATTCGTTTCATTCATTTTACCTCTGGGTCTTAGTTTTCCGGGTCTTAGTTTTCCGGTCTTAGGTCTTAGGTCTTAGGTCTTAGGTCTTAGTTTTCCGGACACCCCAGGCTTTTGTACATTTCGCCGGCATTTTTTTCGATCATTTTAGAAAGGCAAAAGCATCAAGCATTATTCGAGCATGTTAGTGGCTTTTTCCTGAAAAATATACTTTTTTTCCAGATAAAATAAACATGACCCTTGAAACACTAGGATCATTTAAAAGAAAAAGCCTCTGTACAATGAACATTATCCAAGCATTTTAGGGGAAAATGAAGCATTAAGAAGGAGCATTTAAATGGGAAAACAAAAGCATAATGTACAAAAGCCTAAGAGGGAACTGCTTCAGTCTTAAGTCCTTAAGATATCCAAACGTCGAAAGCTGAAATTGCAGCTTTTTCAAAACTGGGTAATCTTAGCCGGGACAAAAGCCATAAAAAATGACGAAGCTTACACTTCCCCTAATAGATCTAATACATTTCTGAAAAGAATTCTGTAAAGTAAAATATGGTTCGCTTATGAACTTGCCAACAATTATGCCACGCCGAAATTCAGACTTAAAAATACCATTTTTACAAGTTAAGTTGACTTGATTCCTTTTTGGAGCGAGGTAAGCTATGTTAATATACAAAGAATTATGTGAGTGGAATTTCAGCATGACTACAAATAAAGAGCTATTCGCTAATCTTTACAAAATGGTGTGATCCAAAATACGAAAATTGCATAAAGGATAGTGTAATCTTAACAAAAGGCCTAAAAAATATACTTTTTTCACACAAAATTGGATGACTTGCTTGATGCCCGTCCGTCAGGGAAATGACTCACTCCCAGATAGTAAAGCTGGTACTGAAAGAGAAAGAATTTTTTACCTATTTTAAACAATTATTGGATGACGTTTTGGTAATATCCGGAATAATCAAGGTCAACGTAGGTGTTATCAGCCAAGCCGAAGGCCTAAGCTGACATTAGTTTGAAGAAAATAAGGACAACGACAGCATCCCATGGAACATAGTTTGACATTGCTCTTAGAAATTAGGCGTTGTGCGCGCAACCTACAGATTAATTCCCGTGCAAACGGACGCAACATTGATGGTCAACAATTCCCAACATTGCTGGATGTTACATGTTGCGTCCGTTTGCACACCCTGTCGCATGTTGTGTCGTGTTATTGGGAGTTGTTGCGCAAAGTTTGAAATTGATCAAAGGTTTAGCGCAACAACGTTGGGACTTGTTGCGTCCGTTTTCACGTAGCTTTAGTCAAAAATCTGATAGCATGCAGATAACTAACTAATCTGTAGGTTACACCAATTTCTAAAATAAATTAACTTTAGGCTGTTAGCCAATGAGAAAAGAGATAGTGAATACAATTTATATTAACTCATTATTTGTTGACCTATAACAGGGAAGAAGGATAATACAGCGGAATCAACTGAAACTTACCTGAAAGATATGAGTACCCCCAGCCATAAGAAAACGGACGTGAACTTCCGGGTGGCTGAAGACAAAGGGGAAAGATATCATTAGAAAGAAAGACATACAGGCCAGTCTCATTCAAATTGAGCTGACACATTGTTGCCTAGCCAATATGTACGCATCAGGTGCATTCATCCCATGCATTAAATCAATGTTAGGTTGTTGCTCCTTAACTTCGTTTCGTACAGAACTGATTTGTCTGAACAGTCGGCAGCATATACTGTACTAAATAGTTTGCTGATAATTGTTTTCTTTTGTTTGAACCGATCCTCAACGAATGGGTCTAATCGAAGCTTTTATTAGACTCTATTTGCAACTTGTGCATAGAAGTGAGTGTGGCCTCAGCCAGCCAATCTGATGTCAATGTGAGGCTTTAAACCACAGTAAATTAAAAGAAGCGGTACTAGACCCCATTTTCTAGACCCCTGTCACAAGAGTCCGGACAAATTTTAAACGGATAAAAATTTTCACGGATCAGTCTTTTGTTTACACCAGGGCGTAAGGAGCTAGGGCGTTGAAACGCTCATACGCGCTCTCTGGTTCAGCTGTGATGCAAAGTACGACTGGAACTAGTTCGCCTTTCCGCTCTCGATCCGCTGTCAGGGCAAGAAAATGGCGCCGTCTAGCTGGAGGTGGGTTCGGATTCATTGCTTTATATCTTTAGATCGCTACAATCTATAATCAAATTTATTATTCGGCGTATTTCTATGCGATGAACAGAAATTATTTAGGTGATATTTTATAGTTAGTTAAGGTAAGGTAATGTGTTTTTTCGCCTTTTATGTTTTATGTAGTGTCAACGAGCATTACCGATTGAAGGTCGCGCTTTATCTTGCCAGTCAAAACCAAATAATAATAAACGGTTACAAAAAAACACGTAATGGTTTTATAAATTTTGTTTGTGCATGCAAATTTTTAGAGTGAACTTCAAGGTTTTTTAACCTCTGAAGTGACGTCTTCATAACGGCGATAGCAAGGTTTTTGGGGGCAGCACTAAAACACGGAATCCGGAATCCGGAAACGGAAACGGAATCATGGAAACGGAAACGGAAACGGAATACGGAATCAAATATCAATGATAGTAAATTAAAGAATTTCACATGACACAATTTAAGTACAATCCAAAGAGAATTTGTCTTAGTTTTCTTGGCAGTTCCCTTAAATATATTCTTGTTGGGGGTCTTGATAAGGTTTGCCCCGCCGCCCATTCAAAAACGTCGATCGTGAAAATGCAAATAAGTGAAAAATGATGTTAATTTAGTGTCAATCAAGAAATCCCCTGGGTATATCCCTTTCCTGAAGAATAGAATTTTACGCGACTAACAATAGCTCAGTCTGTTTAAAAACTGTCTAAATTTACTCCGAATTAGCATGTGACTTTTTGCTGTTAAACGCTTCAAAATTGAAAAATCTTCGATGATTGTTGTTGATTTTGCCGTAAATAATTCAATGCACTGACTTAAAATGAATTTTTACCTTTTACAAAATTCTTGGTGTTCGAATCGATCGGTGAAATATGAGCGTAACCGATGCGTTAATAGTTTGTTTACATTTTGTCACGGGTTTTGGATAATATTATAAACCTTAAAATTTACAGGCAAATTCGACGAAAAAGCACTCTTACTTACGTTCTTCATTTAAGATATTGAATTTAGCAAAGTATAAGGCAAAATTAAGAGCGATACTTTCTTTAAGAACGCTATAACTACATATTTAACGGCCAAACCTAAACAGCGATCTAATCCGTCTCTTGAAAACAACTACAATACCGCTTCTGATAATAATATTTGTAAACGCTGCAAACATTTTTATTCAATCTTATCGAGTGATTTTCTTGAAGATGAGTTTTTAAGTGAAGAATACTTTGGTTTCTGATTAGCTTTAACTGTTTTACCATCAAAACGATTCGCACGAGACTACCGAATTCGCGAGTTCCGCGAGGGTTTTATGTTAGTGCACGACGAAGAAAAATGCTTCTCTTTGCATAAACTTGAAGCACTGACAAAGACATTCCAACACTTAAAACAATGGCAACCTACTTCTATTGTTTCTGCATTGTCTCTTGAAAGTGTGAGAGTAGTTAACCGCTATGAAGTTCACAAGAGACCGAAAACGACGGTAGTCTTTGAAACTTCGTTTTTGCTCGCAAAGCCTAATGGGTACCCCACTTTTCACGGGCGACGTTTTTCAATGGGCGCGTTTCTGTAATACGTAGTGTGGGTTACTGAACTGCAAGGCCGATGAAAGTAATTTTGCGAGTAATGTTTATTCACGAGTTCATGGGTTGAATAATACAGTTAAATATTACTTTTGTAGCTAATTGTCAAGAATAGTAGTAATTAGCCTCAGACCACACCACGTGATTGTCCCCAAACTGAATACTCCACACATGACCGACCAGTGACGTGACCACAGTTCCGGTGTTTTAGCAATAAGTTCAACTTTTTCGCCAAGCTGAATACTGATGGAATACTGCTGTACCGGTAATTGAGTTTACGTGGACGTCCGTATTTTTGTTGAAGAAGCTTATTAAACATGGCGCATTATTTTGATGTAATCGGTTGCGGAATCAAGCAAATGCACAATTCTCCCTTCTCTTTGGACTCCACAATGCCATGGTTCTCTTGAGTAAGTTGTCTTGATAAATAAAACTGAACACTGTTGAAGACAACCCACAAAAGACACCGAGAAAAACTTAAAGGCGACGCCTGTCAGTTATATAAACGACGCCTGTGACGATTCAAACGAAGTTTGTCTCTATATAACTTATCTTTTTCTCAAGGCACTAGTTTTTGTCAGTAACGTTTTTCTCTTCGGTTTGCTGTCCCATGAGAATTTGCAGTCATTGCCGATAGTGTTGTCAAGCGTCTTTTCACCGGAATCGACTTCGATAGTGATACCGCAGTCTCCTCTCCTCTACTCAGCAAATTTATTCATTTGTGTCTTTTTTTTTTATCTGTTTATTTATTTTACTGTCATTGCTAATATTCTTTTTTCAAATCGATTGCTTGGAACCTTCTTTCACAGATTCCGTATTCCGTTTCGGTTTCCGTGATTCTGTTTCCATTTCCGGATTCCGGATTCCGGATTCCATGTTTT